TGTCTTTCATTTTGTTTTGTATTTTCCTCTCTGTCTGTCTCTGTCTCTCACTTTTTCTTTTTTTTTTTTTTTTTCTGAGACAGTCTTACTCTGTCCCCCAGACTGCAGTGCAGTGACATGATCTCAGATCACTGCAGCCATGACCTTCTGGGCTCAAGTGACCCTCCAATTTGGCCTCCTGAGTAGCTGGGACTACAGATGTGCACCAACATACTGGGTTAAATTTTTACAATTTTATTTTTAGTAGAGATGAGGTTTTACTATTTTGCCCAGGCTGGTCTGAAACAACTGAGCTCAAGAGATCCTCCTGCCTCAGCCTTCCAAAGTGCTGGGATTACAGGTGTGAGCCACTGTACCTGGCCTGCTTCATATTTTCCATCCACGCCTCTATCTATAGATTTTCCATCTATATATCTTCTAATGCTGTAATCCTCTATTCTAACACTTCTCATCTGTTATTAAGTCTTTTCTTCAATTTTCAATTACAGGTACTATTTCTTTTTTAGTTTTTGAACTATTGTTTCCTTTTTTTAGACTTCCGTCCATGAAATATTATATCTTGACATTTATTTTTCTGTATTAATCACAGTTATTTTAAAATAAGTGCCTGATAACTCCAACATTTGAAGTAGCTACAGGTCTACAATTTTTTCTTTTCTTTTCTTTTGTGTTTTACAAATTTAGTCCCAGCTCCTAGAATTCTTCAAAATTATATTTTTGGCTGGATGTTGTATATAAAAAGTTGTATAACTAATTTGAAACTCCGCTGATTTGCTATCTTCCAGAAAATATTTGCTTTTTCTCGTGACAATTAATTAGGGTAAGAATGTACTAGTATTTCAGTCTAAAATAAAGTTTTAAAATTTGGCCTATTTCTTATTCATGATTACTCTTAGTATATTTCTCCAGGGTTGTATTAATAACCGAAAATTTTAACAAAACTTTTCCTCCTTGAAGTGACCTCTAATATCGTTTCATGTGAGGTCTTAGCAGTTGTTTCCTGATTGATTCTTACCTTCATGAATGCTTATGAATTGGATAATGACTTGAGGAAGAAGGTGGTACACAAAATTGAAATTTCTTTTTTTTAAGTTCCAGGGTATATATGCAGGATGTGCAGCTTTGTTACATAGGTAAATGTGTGCCATAAAGATTTGCTGCAACTATCAAAACATCACCTAGGTATTAAGCCCAGCATGTATTAGGTATTTTTCCTCATGCTTTCCCTTCCCCAACCCCTTCCCAGTGTGTGTTGTTCCTCTCCCTGTGTCCATATGTTTACATTTTTTCACATTGTTCAACTCCTACTTTTAAGTGAGAACATACAGTGTTTGGTTTTCTGTTACTGTGTTTGTTTGCTGAGCATAATGGCTTCCAGCTCCATCCATGTTGTTATATTTTGTGGCTGCATAGTATTTTATAGTGTATATGTACCACATTTTCTTTATCCAGTCTATCATTGATGGCATTTGGGTTGATTCCATGTCTTTGGTATTGTGAATAGTGCTGTGTCTAACGTACGTGTGCATGTATCTTTATTATAGAATGATTTAAATTGCTTTGAAAATATACCCAGTAATGAGATTGCTGGGTCAAATGGTATTTCCGGTTCTAGGTCTTTGAGAAATTGCCACACTGTTTTCCACATTGGTTGAACTAATCTACATTCCCACCAACAATGTAAAAGTGTTCCTATTTCTCCACAGTCTCTCCAGCATCTGTTGTTCCCTGACCTTTTAATAATTTCCATTCTGACTGGCATGAAATGGTATCTCATTGTGGTTTTGATGTGTATTTCTCTAATATCAGTGATGTTGAGTTTTTTGTCATGTTTGTTGGCCACATAAATGTCTTCTTTTGAAAATTGTCTGTTCATGTCCAACTTTTTGATGAGGTTCTTTGTTTTTTTCCTTGTAAATTTGTTTAAGTTCCTTGTAGATACTGGATATTAGACCTTTGTCAGATGAAAAGATTGCAAAATTTTCTCCATTCTGTAGGTTGTCTGTTCATGTGGGTGATAGTTTCTTTTGCTATGCAGAAGCTCTTTGGTTTAATTAGAAGCCTTTTATCAAGTTTTGCTTTTGTCACAATTACTTTTGATGTTTTCATCCTGAAATCTTTGCCTATACCTATGTTCTGAATGGTATTCCCTAGATTATCTTCCAGGGTTTTTCTATTTGGGTTTTACATTTAAATCGTTGTTAATTTTTGTATAAAGTGTAAGGAAGGGGTCCAGTTTCAGTTTTCTGCATATGGCTCACTGGTTATCCTGGCACCATTTATTAAATATAGAATCCTTTCCCCATTGTTTATCTTTGACACGTTCTTTGAAAATCAGATGGTTGTAGATATACAGTCTTATTTCTGAGTTATTTATTCTGTTCCCTTGGTGTATGTGTCTGTTTTGTACCAGTACCATGCTCTTTTGGTTACTGTAGCTTTAGAGTATAGTTTGAAGTTGGGTAGCATGATACTTCCAGCTTTGTTCTTTTTGCTTAGGATTGTCTTGGCTATGCAGGCTCTTTTTGGTTCCATATGAAATTTAAAATAGTTTTTTTTTTTTTTTCTAATTCTGTGAAGAATGTCAATGGTAGTTTATTGGGAATAGCATTGAATCTATAAATTACATTGAGCAGTATGGCCATTTTCCATTTTCACAACATTGATTCTACCTATCCATGAGCATGGAATACTTTTTTCTCTGTTTCTGTCCTCTCTGGTTTCCTTGAGCAGGAGTTTGTAGATCTCCTTGAAGAGGTCCTTCACTTCCCTTGTTAGTTGTATTCCTAGATATTTTATTCTCTTTGTATCAATTGTGAATAGAAGTTCATTCATTATTTGGCTCTCTGCTTGTCTGTTGGTGTATAGAAATGCTTGCAATTCTTGCACATTGATTTTGTGTCCTGAGACTTTGCTCAAGTTGCTTATCAGCTTAAGAAAGTTTTGGGCTGAGATAATGGGATTTCCTAGATAAGGGACCATACCGTCTGCAAGCAAAGACAATTTGACCTCCTCTCCTCCTATTTGAATATCCTTTATTTCTTTCTCTTGCATGATTTCTTTAGCCAGAACTCCCAATACTATGTTGAATAAGGATGGTGAGTGAATCCTTCTCTTGTGCCAGTTTTCAAGGGGAAAACTTCTCGCTTTTGCCCATTCGGTATGATATTGGCTGTGGGTTTGTCATAAATGCCTCTTGTTACTTTTAGGTGTGTTCCTTAAATATCTAGTTTATTGAAAGTTTTTAACATGAAGGAATGTTGAATTTTATCAAAGGCCTTTTCTATATCTATTGAGATAATCATACGTTTTTTGTCTTTAGTTCTGTTTATGTGATGAATTAAATTTATTGATCATGGCCTTTCATGTTTTAACTGTCATAGTAGCCATGAATACTTAATTTTGTCTCATTCCTGTGAGATTGCTGAAGGTTCACTTAAGTTTCTCAGTCACTTAACTTCTATTTCCTGCTTAATTTTTCCACCACCCAATTCCTTACCACTTTCAGTTGACAAACATCCAGAAGGAAATTGCCACAGAAGTTTGACTTTATCTCAATACGTTTCTTTACTTTTGGGGCTCCTCAAGTCCTGACTGACTTGCTAGAATTCTTTATGCTTTATAACATATGTTCATTAGTTTTCTTGTTTGTGTTTCTCTACTTGTGCCTTGAAGGTAAAAGGACCTATTACCTGTTTCTAGAGAATAAGCCAGTGGTTTTGCCTCATAGGTCTGTAGGACATTTACTACACCATTCAACCAACATATTGAACAGATTTTACAATCTCATTTTCTTTCCATAGTATAAGAGAAAATTCCTTTAAAAGAAAGACAATTTATGGGTCAGTGTTTAAAACCCATTCTATAAATTTACTTTTATAATTCTCATAAAATCTCATAAATAGAAAAAAATAAATTTCTATCATTCCTGAGACCAGAGTTTAAAAACTGAACTTCAAAAGAATGTAGGAGAATATACTAATAAGCTAACACTAATAGTACTAGAAGAAGAAAGTCTTTTAGTGGCACCAGTCTGTTGGCACCAGAGGTGGGTTTTCAGACAGCAAGCTAGTGATTTATAAATATCTGCTGGATTCTTTTGACATAAGTATTGATTATTAGTGAACATAGAGCAATCTGGATATCACATTTATTCTCTAGTACCATATAATGTATTTTTATACAAGTTTGAATAAGCAAAAATTATTATTTGAGGATCATGTATTAAAGTTTGATATTATTGCCATTGTTCCCTATAGGTATATAAATATATCTATTACAGGATAGAAAAATAACCTAAAACAATATTTACCTATTTCCCTGTCATAGAATATAGTGATGATGAAAAAATATCAGTCACTAGTTGAATCTATAGTTTTCAGAGCTAGTAAAGAGATGCAGCCCTTTTCAATATTACATCAGTGTGTAGGAACATAAAACTTAAGAAATATCAACACTATAAAAAATGAAGTGATTAAAAACAATATTAAAATATAAGGAAGGTGTTTAATACACATCAAGTGAAAAAATAATGGTGTTCCTAAAACTAAAACAGAGTAAACACTATAGATTAACAAATAAAAAATTGTTGTGAAAGTTTTTTGGTCAATATTTTTAGTTACTTCTTTTAAATAACAAGATTAATTTAAAAGATTCCTGTATAAATATGATAATTACATATAAAATTTTGTATGCATGAGTTTAAAAATAAACATAGTTCTGTTCTTAACTTCCTCCTCTATAAGATATATTACAATATATTATTTTATATTATCTTATAATCATGTGCTGCTTAATGAAGGGAATATGTTCTAAGAAATGTGTTGTTATGTGATTTCATCATTGTGTGATCACCACAGAGTATATGTATACAAACCTAGATGGTATAGCCTATTGCTTCCAGACTACAAACCTATACAGCATGTTACTATACTGAATGCTGTAGGCAATTGTAACACAGTAGTAAATATTTTTATATCTAAGGTTATACATTACAAAAGAAAAAGTTAATACATTACAACAGCTAGGCAATAGGAATTTTTCAGTGTCATTATAATCTTATGGGACCACCATCTTATATGTGTTCAAAGTTCACAGAAATGTTATGCACTACACCACTGTATGTTATATTAATGCTATACTTTGTCTTGTCTGCCTGACATGATTTCTGTCTCTTCCTTAGGAATCAAACCCCATTTGCCTTGCCAAAGTGGTGACGTGTAATTGAGGCTGGGCAAATGAATGTTATTCTCATTTTCATACACAGTAATAGACTTGTGGAGCATTCCTGACCCAAGCTGAACCATTGCTTTTCACTTTCTACAATTTGATTTATGAATGGAGACTCAGGATTGAAATGTTCTTTATTTCACAGTACACCAGAAAGCTAAGATTTAAAAAACCCTGTTGCAGAGGTTCCAAAACCATACTGATATCTGTCTTTTTCAATGTTTGTTTAGATAATGTCATTAAATCTTTTTTTGAGCCTACTCCAGTACATTGCTCATAAACCTTATACAATTATTTACATACTTGTTGAATGTATTATATTTTAAACTAATTTAAGTTACTCCAAATTTGTATTTGACTAAGTTTAATTCTGTTGCTTAAAACCAAATAGGTCTTACCTACTTCAAGAATGAATTGCAGGCAAAATCGTTTTAAATAATTCCTCTTCTTTCATTCTATAATTTATTCTATACGCAATAGCTAGTTTTATCCAATTAAAATATGCTTGATCATATTAAAGCTATTTTCTGAATCCTGTTTAGTTTCTTCTATCACTTAGCATAAAAGTAAAAGACTGTATAAAGGTTTACAGGTCCTATGTAATACGTACCTTTCTTATATCTCTGACCTTATCTCTTGGTATCCTGTTTTGTTTCGTTTTGTTTTGTTTTTTAAACTACTAAAGCCACCTTGGTCTTATTACTGCTTCTTAGAACACGCTTAAATAAGGGGTCTCCTCTATTCAATGATTCTGTCTGTAGTTATCCGTGAAGCTTACTCAATTATTTCCTTCAGATTTTTGCTCAAATATTACAAAGGCCTAATTTGACTATTCATAATAGTCACTATAACCAAATCTTTAGAAACTAACAATTAGTCAATGAAAATTTGCCAAGTAAATGGAACTCATAAAGCTTTGAGAAAGACAAATTTAAAAAAGTAGGAATTGAAAATAAACATTTTTAGAACAATACACATGCATATTCTCCTTTAGCATTTCTTCTGAACTTCTCCAAAAACCTAGGGGCTTTTACTCCATGTAATTCGAAAAGAAAATATTTACAGGGCAATTGGATATAAGCTTCAAGCTAATACTACTTCCTGAGCAATTACAGTTTACATGAAGTCCACCATAAATTCTAATTTACAGAATGGGTGTTGTGGGAAGCAGGTGATCACTAAAACTCTAACAACATTTGCCTCGTATTAATTGCAGTGAGTTCCTGAATCCAAGTTACTTTTTTTCTGTCAGTTCCTGAATATGTAAGAAGAATGGGTGTTTGTTATATAGCAACATTCTCACTTTGATTACTTGACATTTGGAGCCTGCTCAAATTATGATAGGATAGACACATTCATCCACTGAATAACAAAAACAACACATTGTTGCTATTATCCATCCTGAGGAAGATGAAAATTGGTGTAAACTTCAAAAACTTGAAAAATCCTAGCCCTGTGATCCATAGTATATACCTATTCATTTAACTACTTTGGTTATTAGAAAAGAAGTAATAATCAATTACTGTAAATTTATCACTTAATAAGTATGACTGTGTCTGCTATCCAGATGTGCATGCGAATATGTGCCTTGGCAATAGGTATGCTTTTACTGATGTAGCAATTACATTTCAATTGAACACAGGGTAAAAGAGAAACTTGCTGGCAGGAACTGCCTTTGTGATGTATTTTTGCCTCTGGGATATATCTCCCTTCTGGTTCTGTGCTATATAAAGTTTTCAGCAAATTTATATGATTTCTCATATAAATTTATATGATTTTTCAAATTTCTCATGTAAATTTATATGATTTCTCAAATTTATATGACATCTCATAGGATGTCATATGCTTCCACTGTATTGTTGATAGAGTCTTAAGCTAGAATAATAATAATTATAACAACACCAACTAATATTTATGGTAGTGACATCTGTTAATTTGCTGAGTTAATTCTCAACATAAACCCTATGAAAGAGTTACTGTTATATTTTTCATTTCTACAACTGAGGAGAAAGAGTTACAGGAATGATAAGTAACTTGCTTCCAGTCATAGCTAAAAAGGAGCTGAGCATAATGCAGCCCCAGTTTATCTGGTACCTAAACTGGACAACACTTACCGCTTGTACTTCCAGAGAGAAGGTTAACATTGCACCTGGGCACATGTGAGTCACAGCGGAAGTAGCCAAGCCGTGCTGTGCTAAAATGCAAGGAGCAGAAAGTTGAGGTGGACTGTGAGCCTGTGGAAGTTTCCCAGGGCCACTGGAAGTCATCCTGCTATTCTCAAGGTGTGAGCCTGACATGGGAGAGGCAGCCTTAAATATGGCTTTGGGTCATTCTCCCATTGTCTTAATAAATACTGCCTGGCTGCATTCTATCCCTATGAATCTCTGTAACAAAATTTTGGGTGGTCACCCACTTAGGATTGTCTTGGAAACCTGCTTCCCTTTAAAGTCAGCCTTTAAAGTATCTCCTTGCTCTTACATCTCTAAAAGTAGCCAGGCAGCAGCCTGAATGCTTGTTGCTTAGATATTTCTTCTGTCAGATATCCTGGTTCATCATTTTTAAGTTCTTCCTTATATAAAACCCTAGGGAATGGACACAATGCAGCCAAGTTCCTTGCAACTGTGTAACGAGGCTGGTCTTCACTTAAGTATCCAATGCCTTGCTCTTCAATTCCATTTGAAACCTCATTAGAATTGCCTATACTGTCTCTATTTTTACCAACATACTGGTCACAAGCACTTAAGTACTCTTTAAGGCATCCAGACTTTGCCTACACAGCTCTTCTTCTGAGCCCTCACCAGAATAGACCTTAATGCTCTGCTCAGGGAAATACAGTGATACAGTGTGTTTTGTTTTTGTTTTTGTTTTTGTTTTTGTTTTGGCCTGTTCTTTGAAATTCTTCCAAGTCTCTGATTACCCAGTTCTAAAGCCACTTTCACATCTTTGGGTAATTGGCATAGCAATGTGAAAAGAAAATAAAAACTTGGGATCATAATTCACCATGCCAAAAGGAAACAATTAAGCTGAAAGCTGAGTCATGCCAGAAACTGCCTTTCCTTTTGTTCCTAAGCAGATAGCTACAGATAAAAGGTTAAGTATCTCCACAGGTAGCTACTCTATGTTCACCCTATCTTATGTAAAGTGCCAATTTTCTGACCCTAGAGGAACACTTGCCTGTTCCTTTTCTTTTGCAACATGTGGATTATCATACCTTTCCTCTTTCCCATCCAGCTCACTCTTCCCCTTTAAATATGGAAGCCTGTAAAATCGTATTTGGAGAAAGGCACAGACCTCCCTCTGCAGCCTGTCCTTAACCTTAGAAAAATAAACTTCTAAATTGATTGAGACCTGTCTCAGTTACTTTGTGGTTTGCAATAACAACCCCATTCTTTGTACAAGTTTTCTGTCTTAGTTAACTTTGTGATGCTTTAAGAGAATATCAAACATGGTTAATTTATTTTAAAAAATATATATTTCTCACAGTTCTAGAGGCTGAAAAGTTCAACATCAAGTGGCCACGTATAGTGAGGGCCTTCTTTGCTTCATAACAAGGAGGAAGGCATCACATGGAAAGACATCATATACCCACCTCCAAATACTATCAACATATATCTTTAGAGATTGTTTCCTAAACACAAACTGTGGGGAACACGTTCAAACCACAACACAGAGCATACTGGTGTCAGTCATCTTTAGGAGCCGTATCCAAAAATCACTTTTGGTTTTCCTAATTAAATGTAATAAGATAATTTTCAACTGTATGTGAGGTAAACACATTATGTGAAACAGGAGCATTTTAGGAATTGAAAACTGAGTGGGAGGTTGGTACTTACCTATGACTTTGGTCAGGTAGGACATGCACAGTGATTTCAATTCTCTTTGCTTACCTATTACCCCTTCTTCTGGGAGAAGATTCCAATCTCTATGGCAACAAGGAGAGACAGTATGTGATATAGACTGGCTTGATCAAAATATCTCAAGTCCCTGATACTCAAGTGATTTTCTCTGTGAATATTAATTTATAATGGAGAAGTAAGATATCATTAAATTACATTATTATGAGGCTGCACCCTGGTAAAATGTTTCTGAACTCCTGCTGATATCAGCCAGGCATTGCCTTTATCTCTTTTCCTAAACTTGAATGTTTACCTTTAGCCACTTCCTATCCTTAATGTAAGTCTTTTTTGTTTGTTTGAATAATGTGTAAGTTAGCAGAATCTTAATCTTTTTAAATTGTTTTTATTTTTGCAACCAAAGAACCTAAAGTAATACCAAATTAGAGCAACATCCACAGCAATTTGAATTTAGAAATTTTAAATACAAAATTCTACCAAGTAGTTTGTCAAATATTTATAAGGGCAAAATAATTCTCAGGTACACAAGTCTCACTGAAAGTTATTTTCTATTTCATAGATAAATAAAAATTTGATATGACTGATAATAGTCATTGTGTTGGAAAAATTTTTGATGATCAGCATTAAAAACAATTTAAAATACTGAAATAAGCATGCATAGTTTTAGAATTACAGTTATTAAACTAGTAAAAACTATTTTACTACTAATTCTCAATTTACCTGAAGAAGTAGTTGGAAGAATAAAGTGATTATTTTAATTGAACACACTACATGTCAAGATGAAGAGATTGCTAAATTTGCATGATAGACAAATGGTAAGGTGCTGTGACTGTGTGTAGAGATTCCTTGATTGACAGTAAATAGTCTAAAGGCCTAGAACAGTTTCAGGCACACAATGGGTACTCAATAAATACTTGCTGATTTAATGTGTGAATGAAGTAAATACAAATTAAACGTTGGAAATCTTTCTCCAGTTAGATGTGTTAGAAAATATCTGAAATACAAGATGAACTTAAGTTCTAAGGGAAATTAGATCAAAAGTAAATATAAATTTAGATGGGAAATTATAGTATTGAGTAAATACGAATAGATCATTTAATAGAAACTACATACCTTAAAAATGAAAGATTATATAATCCCTCCTCTCTCAGACATTCTCTGAGAAAGTTACAGTAGATTTCACATTATAAAGGAGTAAAAAACAACTGACAGACATATTGGAAATGCTCTATCTCAATGCCAGAACAAGAAAATGCAAATTAAGTCAATAATGAAATGCCATTTAAAATGCTTTTTAAAACAAAAATCCCACATGTTGGTAATGATAAGACAACATTCTTTTGGAAAACATCTAAAATTTTAAGGGTTACTTTTTTTTTTTTTTTTTTTTTCTATTCTCTTTCTCTAGGCTTTCTCTTCCAGTGGCTAAGTGTAATTCATTCTGCCTTATGAAGTATTATTCCAATCTCCATTCTCCTCTACTGTCCACACACATCACTTTAACTTAGTGTAACATCTTAGTTATCTGAATTCCCACAATTACTTTATGTTTGTCCTTTAGCCTCCATTCTTATTCCACGTGCTACATTCATTAAGCCATAAAGTAATTTTGAGCATGTCACTTCTTTGCTTAAAACCATTGTACCAATATCCCCTTGCTCTCACTTAAGGTCAAACTGCTTAAAATGTTTTCAAAATCCTTTAGTTACTTTTCTGTTACCGTTCAATTACTCATTAAGTTAATTTTCCCTTAACTCCATCTCCTATTCCACGGCCCTCAAATCTAAGTTCCAGACAGCTCCACCTTCTGTTTTCCCAGGTTCTTCCTTATATCTTTACGTGAGCCCATTTGTTCTTGCAGTAGAACATGCTTCCTGTAGCCTGATTAATTTTTAAGCATTCAGATATAAAACATAGTTTTAATATCAGTCACTTCCTCCATCATCACAACCAGTTATCTTCTAGTCTATTGGCTTAGAAATCTATAATTATCCTATGACTGCAACCTTCATCACATATGGGCAGATGGCACCTACCTCTCATTCTTGAAATTTTGGTCACTTTGATGTCTGTAGTACAATTACATTTGATGAATCAATCAATCAATCAATCAATGAAAATTCATGAAATGTGGACTATTTGGCATAGTATTATCAATTATAGGATACTTTCCAAAATATATAATCCTTACTATCAGAAAAGTGTACATAATTGTGTTTATAATGACATTATTTAAAATAAAGCAATATTAGAAATCATCTAAAGGTTCAAATACAGGGCATTATTTAAATAGATTAGGATAGCAGTGGGTACTTACTGTTTGTCTGTTTACTTTAAAAATTAGTTCTCCTGGAAACCATCTCTCCTTCTTTCTTACCATTATGATTTATAAGTAATGGGCTCCACTTCCTCTTGAGTAGTAGGCCCTGACTGGCTTAACCTAATCAGAATATTCCATTCTCCCAGAACCAATAATTGGTCCAGGAATTGACAAAGAAAAACCATTCAGAATCAATATAAATGAAAGATAATTGTTAAGGCTTCAAGAGAAGAAAATGTCTTTATTCTTTGCGAATAGAAAGTGGAATGTGATTGTAGTTCAAAGATCTGTGGTCTGGTATGGGGGCATCAGTGTTTCATTTTTCATTCAACTTTTATTATGAAATAATTATAAGTTCATATTCAGTTTTAAGAAATAATATAGAAAAGGAGAGGTTCAACGTGGCTGACTAGAGACCTCCAACACTTGCCCTCTCCAGAAAGAAGAACCGAAATTACACTCTGAATAGATAATTACACTCTGAATAGAACATTTAGGAGAGAGCACTGGAGTTCACCAGAGAAGTCACACGAAACACCTGAGACACAGAAAGGGAAGGAAATGAGTGGCCAGTTCAGCCAAAATTGGCTGAGAGCCTGGAGAGTAAGTGAGAGACCCTAAGCAGTCCACATCCTCACTATGGAAAAACTCTGCTACCCACATGAATCCTGACACTAGCATGTGCAGTTATGTGGATTCCCTGAAAGGGCATTGCACCCAATCAGGAGCTCATGCTAAGACAAATACACCCTGGAGACCAAAGCAGCTGCAGCACAGTGCCATCATGAGAACACAGCCATCATTGAACTGCATTCTATCCTGGAAATCGCAGCCCCCATATCTCTACATCCCAGGCTACCCCACTGACATACCACAGTGCCCGCCCAGGGCACAGCATGAGCTGGACTCAAAGGTACTGCAATGTCCCCAGTACCCTAATTTTCATGGAGTACCATTTCCATGGAAAAGATGGTGCAGCATACCAAGGAGGCAGCCTCTGGGACAAAGAAATCCAAAGTGTGTGCTTTACAGAGCGTGAGAGCTCCCTGTCTGGGACTCTGAGAAGTGACCTACTCCCCATCACTAGCACAGTCTGTGGCTCCAACTGAAATGTAGAATCCCTTCCTCCCTCATGCACACTACTACAGCAGTTGCTGCCATTAGGATCTCAGGTAGGCAAGCCTCAGAGCTCACTGTCTGGGGCTGAGGGCATTGACCCTGCCCCCACTGCAAGAGTGGCCTCTATGCTCAGGCTGACACATAGAGAGTATGACCCTTTACCCCACTCTACACACCACCACAGCTGCAGCTGCTGTTGCTGCATTTAGGGGGCGGGCTGTCTGGGGCTGTGTGTTAACCACACCCCCACTGGCAGTGTAGCCTCCATACTCAGGCTTGCCCATGAAGTACACTATACAGACAAATATAGGCTGAAAGTGAAGAGGTGGGAAAAAATACTCCATAGAAACAGAAACCAAAAGCAAGCTGGAGTAACTATACTTATATCAGATTAAACAGGCTTTAAGTCAAAAATAGTAAAACAAGACAAAGAAGGTCATTTTATGAAAACAAGGGGATCAATCCAACAAGAGGTTATAGCAATTCTAAATATGCATGCACCCAACACTAGTGCACCCAGATTCTTAAAGAAAATATTGCTAGATCTAAAGAGCGAGATAGACTCTAATACAATAATACTGGGGGACCACAACACCCCCACTTTCAGCATTAGACATATCATCTAGACAGAAAACCAACAAGAAAACATAGGATTTAAACTGGACCTTAAGACCAAATGAACATAACAGATATTTACTGAACATTCTATCCAATAACTACAGAATATACATTCTTTCCATTGGCACATGGAACATTCTCCAGGGTAGTCTGCATGTTAGGTTACAAAACAAGTCTCAATAAAATTGTGAAAAGCAAAATTATATCAAGAATCATCTCAGACAACAATGGAAAAAACTAGAAATCAAAAAACAAAAGAAACTTTGGAAACTATCCAAACAACGTAGTCCTGAAAAACCAATGAAACAATGAAGAAATTAAGATGGAAAATAAAAAAAAGTCTTGAAACAAATAAAAATGGAAACGCAATTTACCAAAACCTGTGGGACGCAGCAAATGTAGTGCTAAGAGGGAATTTTATAACAATAAACGCCTACATCAAAGAAACAGAAAAAATAAATCAAATAGGCTATCTAATCATGCACCTCAAGAACTAGAAAAGCCAGAATAAACCATATCCAAAATTAACATAAAATATATAATAAAGATGCAATAAGAACTAAACAAAATAGAAACTAAAAAAATAAATAAAAAGGAGTTAATAAAACGAAAAGTTGTTTTTTGAAAAGATGGATATAATAGATAAACTACCAGGTAGGCTAATCAAGAAGAGAGAAGACCTAAATAAGCAAAATAAGAAATGAACAAAGAGACATCATTAGTGATCATCAGAGACTATGATGAACAATTATACGCAAACAAAACAGAAAACCTAGAGGAAATCGATAAATTCCTGGAAATGTGCAACCAAAATTGAATCAGAAGAAATAGAAAATCTGAGCAGTCCAATAACAAATAGTGAGAATGAATTAGTAATAAAAAAATTTCCCTGCAAAGAAAAGCCCAGGACTGGATGAAATCACTAGGAAATTCTACCACAGATATATATAAAAAAATAATAATGCAAATCTTCCTCAAACTATTTCAAAAAATCAGAGGAGGGAATTCTCC